TCCTGTGTTGTCTCTGGTACCTCTGAGAAGTGGCATCATAGAGCCGTGGCCCTCTTGTAACAGACTTGTTTCACTTAGTGCAGTGTTGGCAAGGTCTGCCACGTTCCAGCCTGTGTCTGCATTTTCTGCCTTTGAACGCTTCAGAATATTCCAGACATGCTGCCAGTCTACCCACCTGTCCACAAACCTTGGGCGGCCCCCGCCGCTGGCGCTTGTGAATAACCTGCGTGACTGCGGGTGTGTGAACTCAGTCACCTTGTTAACAGAGGCGCCATGTTTTCCCTTTGCACCGAGCCCTGCAGATAGAGCAGCAGCAGGTCCTGCTGTCCAGCTCTCTGCGGCCAAGAGCTTTGCCCTGTCACTGAGTCCGCTCAGTGAGAAGCTCAGTAGGAGGAGACCGGCCAGTGTCGCTCCTGGGGCCCCAACTTAGTGGTGCATGAGCCCCTGCGTTCTGCCCTTCCCATCTCTGGACCACCTGCAGTCACAACTTCGGAGTGGCCTTTGCAGATGGCACAGAAGTGTGGGCAAATATCGAGGTCTGCACACAAGATGCTTTTGAGGCTCAGCCCAGCACCCAAGCAGGGTCGTCTGGTTGACGAGCTCACTATCTCTTGCAGACATCAGACTTTCCTATTCCTTTTGGCGAGGAAAGAAAATGTGTCTCTGGTGGTCTGAAATGTGGTCTGACAGGCACAGGATGTAGTTCACGCAGCTGCGAAAATACGCAGGTCGGGCGCTTGGCTTGGAGAAGCAGGTTGCTGTAGAATCTTTGCTGAGCCGTGGTTTTGCTTTCATTCATTTGAGGTCTTCAGAGTGGGCGATTCTTTTGGAACTTGTGTGTGGGGGGGAGGCGGGGAGGGGGGTGTCTGCTCCTGCCCAGAGGCGGTAAAGGAATAAGAACCCTGTGGCTGGAATGGCTTAACTTAATGAGTCTGCACCAGGGCACACAGGAAAAGCCACGCGAGAGAAGGCACGCAGAGACGCTGGAAAGGCAGCCACGGAACGTGGGATTTATGCAAACACGTGTCCAAGCCAAGCAGGTGAGAGGACTTGCAGGGTATTTTGGTTTGTTCTGTTTTTTCTTCCTTTTCATGGCTGAGCGCACACGTGCGGAAACAATGACAGACAGAGAGGACATGTCTCACCCCGACACCCAGCCCCACGTTCTAGGGGTGACGATGGTTTGTTTCGTTCCTCCCACAGATGTTCTCGCGCAAACAGAGCATCTACAGCGGTGGCAGCGCCGGTAGCTGCGGGAGGCGGCCAGGCCGGCCGAGTTCTCACTTAGCTGCCTCTCTTGCAGGGCTTCTTTGCATCCGCTTGGGCGTTCAAGCCTCCCCATCACCTCTGCAAGCAGGCCTGGGTGGTGGTAGCCGGGCGGGACTAGGCTGACGGTGGGAGCCATCCCAGCCAGCGCGGCAGCGGCCCAGCCATGGTCTGGTGTGCGCCGAGCACCTGCCGCCGTAATGTGGACGCCGCGAACCCCAACTCACATGTTGCTTTCTCGTAGACGACCGACCTGTGCCAGTCGGGGACCCCAGGCCGTGCGTTTCCACAGCCCCCGATGGTAAGCCGGTGCCATAGTGGGGCAACCGGAGAAGCCACCGCCCGCCTGTGATCTGTGATTGTGTCTTCTGCCCAGAGCCTAGACACTCCCAGGAGATCCATTATGCCGCGCCCGTGTTCCCCGACGCAGCCCCCCGACACCGCGGTGAGTCGTCTGCACGAGTTAAGAGCTGTCGACAGCAAACCTGCAGGCAGACCCGCTGAGGCCCTCAGCGGGGGGCCCACACAGAGGAGGGACGAGCACAGGGACGGTGGTGATGGCCCCCGGGGCTGGGGTGGGGGCAGGACTTGGGGGGCTACCCTGAGGGAGAAGCCCATGCTGTACAACAGTGCACAGCGATGTGGAAGTGAACAGCTGTGGACAGGACACAGAGGTTCCTGCGAGGCCGCCACCGTGGAGGTCTGGGAAGCCAAGGTGGGGCAGCACGCACACCCCAGGAAGCCAGTCACCACGCACACCCCAGCTCCTGCCCGTCTCATCAGGTGCTGGGCCCAGGGCAGGGAGGCCGTTCACATAAAACACTCAGAGGGGCACCGTGTTCAGTAAGATTCCAGGAAAAACCAGCAAATACTTGGTGCAGGCAGATCACCCAAGCAGTAGAGAGCGGGATTTCTGTTAGCGCCCCGGGGACACATATCTTAAGGTTATCTCGTTATTTTCTCACTCACACTTCAGAAGCCGGTCACGGTTACGAAACGGCCTGTGTCTATTCCGAACTCGCCTTATGACGTGTCAAGCTACAAACTGCAACTCAGGGTAAGATGCTTTTTGTAAAGCTGGTTGACGCGAAGCAAAAGCGAACTTGATTGACACTTACCAAATGCCTCTCCTGGTTACTGCCGTGACTCAGGGCCTCTCAGGTTCAAACACGCTTCCTCTGGCTGCTCAGGGACATTCAGTCCTGTCATCACGCGCGTGTTTGCTGACAGGGAACCGTGCTCCCAGCCCGCGGCTGTCTGTAGGCAGGGGCCGTCCTCCTGGCGGTCAGCTTATAAAGGAGCTGGTGAGAGGGCGGTTCCCTTCGCCCTGCCTCCTGGCGCTGAAGAATGACCATGTTCTGGGCCCCCTCTCCCTACACCCACCGCAGGTGCATAAGCTAAAAGCACAAAGCCAGGCCGTACTGAACTCCAAGGCACACAGGGATGCCCTGAGGTGCTGCTGAAGATCCGTTCACCTCCGCGGCGCTGCGCACGGGTTTGGTGAGACTGAAAAACACCTGTGCCGATGCTCACGGCCTGTCTGAGGCCCAGGGTCTAGCTAATGACGTGCCTTGGCGTCCTGCCTTCCCCTCCGCGTTCTGTGGCAGGGCGGCTTAGAGTTGCCTGGGGGGGAAGGGGGGGGCAGCAGCATATACTTGTTTTCTAGGACTGTTGTTGACAAGTTACCTCAACTGGTGGCTTAGAGCAGCAGAAATTTCCTCATCATTCTGGGGGACAGAAAGCCAAGTTTAAGGTGTGAGAAGGGCCACACACTCTTTTTGAAGCTCTAGGAGGAGACTCCTTCTCACCTCTGTCAGTCCCTGGTGACTCCTGCTGTTCCTTGACTTGTGGCAGTGTTTTGGCAACACCCCCCTCCCCCAGCTCCCCTCTTCAACCACCTGGCCTGGCCCTCTCATCCCCCACCTGGCCTGCAGCCCCCTCCCCCCCTCCACCTGGCCTCTGGCCCCCTCATCCCCACCTGTCTCTAATGAGGACAGTGATCTTTGAGTTAGAAGCCCTCTGGATTATCCAGGACCATCTCATTAGAGATCCTAAATCACATTGCAAACAGCTTTTGCAATGTGTGACTGATCCAATGAGGAGACAGTCACAGGTTCCGGGGGGGAAGGGGCTATCAGACTTGTCTTTCGGGGGAGCCACCGTTCATCCACTACCAGAGACACATTTCTGATTTGAATCTTTCCTCCAGGAGTTATAAGTCAAGCGCAATAAAGGTCCAGAGGTAGTTTGAGGTTTCCAGACAAACAACTTGACGCATTTTTTTTCCTACTCTGTTCTTTTGCTGGTGTCTGAACTAGTCTTAAATGTTCTAGCACTGGACCGCTGACTAGAAATACCATAGCTGTCATGGTGTCTAATCATAGTTATTAGACACTGCTAGAAGGCCCGTGTGGTTTGTCTGCGTTTACGGGAAACTTAGACTCTAAGTTTTTAAGGAAACCTAGACTCAGGGGAGGTAAATAACTTGACAAGGTCGTCCCCGGCCTGGTAAGTGGTTGGACTGGGAGGTAAATCCTAGCAAAGGTCAACAGGTGCACTGACCGTGGGAAGCCTCCTCAGGATGGAAGGTGGTGACCACAAGGGTCCTGTTGCTACAAAGCAGCACTCGAGGGCGTGAACCCCCTTCTCTGTCGATATTATGATCTCGGGGAAGTCAGGGCCTGAGAGTGGGGGGACTCCCGAGTGGACAGACTGAATCAAGGCGTGGTCACGTGCTAACCATATGATCTAGATGACCCTTGTCACCTCTCTGGGCCTGTTTCCTCATTCGGCTGGGGAGCAGGGGCAGGGAGAGGGCCTCTCATCATGGAGCTGCTGCTGTGAGAATTAATGAGGTGAGGAGCTTGAAGCAGGTCCACAACGAGAACAAGGAAGGGGAGCTATTCGGAATGGGATGGTGCTTCTGCCAACTCTGAGTCATGTTGTCTTGAATGACATAAACTTGGCCCGTGGCCACCACTGGCTTTTTCATGTCTTAACCTGAGTGAGCCTGAGCGAGAGTGTGGATGCAGGGTACAAGCAGAATATGCAGGCTGTGGTCCCAGGGACAGGAGTTGAGGTCCAGAGAGTCACAGGAAGGGAAAACTGTTAGGAGTTTGGAACTTAGTGGACTGCACTCACAACTGGACTCAGGCCACGTAAGACCCTCTGAGGTCTACAAGCCCAGAATGCCGGAATTTACAGGAAGAAGCATTTACCCTTCGGCCCACCCACCTGCTGAGAGCCACCCTAAGACCTCACCCCCAGCCTCAGGTCAGAGCCCAGGGACACAGAGGGGCATGCCCCAGGCTGGGCACCTTCATTCCTTGTGAGGTGAACGGAAGCCCACGCAGAATTGTTTCCACGGTTGTGGCTGGAATTTGAAGGGAAACCAAAAGGCCAGAGCACCCCACCCTCCAGCATCTCTCAGAGCTCCTCGGGGCCTCCCTCAGTGAGGCGCCACTGAGTGCAGCAGGGGCTGCAGCCCCAGGCTGACTTACCAGTGGGGGCGCCTGGACAAGGTGACGTCCCGGCCCTGCTGGCCCTGGAGTTCCCGCTGGGAGTCCCCATCACCTCTCCCAACTCCATTCTCCATCTCTCCGTCCCCAGCCAAGGTTATCCAGCTGCCCTAGATGGCTTACCAGATGGGGGGACTCAGACCTTTGGCCCTCAGGGGTCTGAGCCCCAAGTCGCCCTACCCTTGCCAGGCCACAGTTTTGTCACCATCGTCACCTGGCATGGTGGCATCAAGAGATTCCCCCACTCTGGTAAATCCCCAAATACGTCCCTCTCCACCGTGGCCACTCTGTGGGTTCCCACATTGGTGTAGCTAAGTAGCTGAGGTCATTTTGTCCGAGTCTTGGTGCCGATTCTCCTGTGGACATGCCCGGTGGCCAAGAACAAGGGACTCCGAGGTCCTCGGGTTCTGTACCCTGAGCCTCGGACTTCCCTGTCACTCAGCTCCTGGTCCTGCCACTTCCGGGCCCCTGTTCTGAGACTCCTGTTATAGTGAAGGCCATTCTCTGCTTCCAGGGTCTGCGCTGCTTCTTAGCTCAGACCACCTTTCCCTCCACTCGAGGCTCGTGGCCAGAATGCCCAAAATCTTATTGCTTTAACATGTGACACACATTCCAACACTCAGTGGCCTGCACCACACCTTGGGACACTCCAGTCTAGGCCCCTTAGGTCCAACTCTGCAGGCGACACCCCAGCAGCACATTTAGAACAAGTCCCTAAGCCTCAGACCCTGAGCCTCTGCTCAGTCTTGTGCTCCGCTCAGCTCAACAGTCTTAAGACCCACTGTCCTCAGGGCTCCCTCCACCCCTCGCAACTGTACTGGTGCCCTCGAGTGCATAAGCAATTTCTCCCAAGCTGGGGTCTTTGCTCCCCCCTCAGGCTTTGCTGAGACCGGACCCTCTGTAGGTCTCCAGGCTCAAGGAGAGGCCGGGCTGGATCTTAAGGACTCTCGTGTGGCTCACACTGGTGGACGCCAGGGCCCGCGGGCAGTAGGACGTGAGGAATGTCTGTTTTATGGGTGTACAGTTGCATTTCAGTCTGGGAAGACGGAAGCTTTCTGGAGTTGGGTGGTGGTGATGGTTGCAGAGCAGTGTGAACGTGTTGAAGGTTGTTGGACTATTACCTAAAGGTAGTTTTGATGTTATCTGTACTCCACCATAAACAAACATTGAGCAGGCCGTGTCTGTTGGCCCAGAGGTTCAAGGGAAGCAGGAGTTTCCAGGCCTCCAAAGGCCACAGGCCGAGCCTCTCTGTTCCTGCCAGTGGCCTGAGGTAGGTGGCCGACGGCTGCTAGAGTTGCTCCTTCGTGGAGCAGATTTTGATCAAAGTCTGGACATGGTATTCTGCCCAGCCTACCCTTTGCTGTGGAAGACCAGAGCAGCTTTCTATGCTGTCATGGAGGCCCTCTGGGTTTTGCAACATGCCCCGAATTAACAACCTCTCATTTTCTCCTTGCAAAGCTTCTAAAATAAGTCAACAGAAGCCAACCAACTGCACATCCCATATAATTACCATCGCCCATACCTTTCAAGTGCTAGAACCCTTGTGTGACCTTCCCAGCTCTCCCTCCTTACCCACGGCAGGGGAAAGTCTTAATAATGGTGAAGCGAAGGCATGGAAGGGTTCTCACCAGCAAGCACCCATGCAGCCATCCATCCAGGAAGTAACTCTGTGTCCTGAGGCTGTTTTCTAGGGCCTTCTGGTAGCCTGTTTGATCCTTGGCTAGAGCTGAAAGCAGAGCTAAGACCTTCTGTGCATATAATTCATTTGAACAGTGTCCTGAGGGAACACATGCCAGGGATTGAAGGAAAAGCCAGGGCAAGGGTCTACTGTTGAGCTGGGAACTGCTGTGGACAATGGGGTTTGAATCCACTGGAAACTTCTGAAACAACATCCCATAAAATTGTTTACCTGAGGATCGATAGTGAAAACTGATCCACTGGCTTCTGGGGCGCCCTCGCCAAGGGCTGCCCCAAAAGGTGACGTCGCCTTCATATCCAGGCTGTGCAAGGGGCGCCCAAGCAAACCCTACTAGCACCTCACCCAGGGCAGAGGACAGTCGCAGGGTGGAAACCGAGCATTCCTGGTGTATACTGAAGCTAGAAATGGTTGGCACAGAGCGAGTGAAGCCTAAGATGCAGCTGGAGCCAGGTGAGGCCCAGAGGACAGCAGAATGGAGCAAGCTGGCAAGTCACTTCTCACCATTTTCTTTAAAACAGCTAAGGCTGGCAGCGGAAACTGCCATGTCCCGGGTGCAGGCATGTTGAGGGCCTGGTAGCTGCTTGTGTGCCTGGCCTCGTAACTAGCAGCCTCCTCACTCAGCTCCGACTTACTGTGGGCCCGCCTCCTCTCACCCCTGCACAGACATGCAGCCCCACCAAATACATCTGGATTGAACTGATCCGAGAAGAGGAAAAGATCTTTAGTCCACAGGAGGTTCTGAAGTGTGTGTAACCCAGTTGGACACATTGATCTGGACAGTCCTCAGTAAAAATTACCTACCTCAAGGCCTCCCTGGGGGCGCAGGGGTTGGGTTTCAGCACCGTCAGGCTATTACCAGCCACTGCAGCATGAGTTCGATCCACACCTAGGGAGCTGACTACAAGGCACAGCCGACCTCCCCTGTCTCCTGGCTGTTCCCCTCAGCAGTGTATTTCAGTGGATCCATCTGTTCTGCTCCCCACTCTGTCTCTGATGAATCCCCTCACCCCCCACATCTCTGGCCTAAACTCCAGTTTTTCTATGCATAAATAAAAACAAATCTTAAAAAAAAAAAAATGTACTTATCTCGGGGCCCTGCCTGGTGGCGCAATGGGTGAGGCTCAGCACTATGAAGCTCGCTGCAGCCACTTCAGCACAAGTTCCATCCCCAGCCAGGGAGTAACCCACATGGTGTGGCAGACCTCTCTGACCCCCGCTGCTCCCCTCAGCACTGCATTTTGACCTGCCTGTTCTGCTCCCATCTCAGTGAATCCTCTCACCGCCCCTGCACCTCTGGCCTGTACCCTAGTTCTGTGTGCATACATAAATACATTAAAAAAAAGTGTTTATCCTGGGAATGCAAACTAGTACACCACTATGGAAAACTGTTTGGAGGTTCCTCCAACTGCTAAACATGGAGCTTCCCTACGACCCAGCAATCCCACTCCTAGGTATCTATCCAAAAGACACAAAAACACTGATTGAAAAAGATACTTGTACCCCCATGTTTATTGCTGCTTTATTTACAATTGGAAAAACATGGAAGCAGCCCAAATGCCCAAAAGTAGATGACTGGATTAGAAAGATGTGGTACATATATACAATGGAATATTACTCAGCAACCAAAAGGGAGAAACACATGTCTTTTGCAGCAACTTGGATGGAGCTGGAAAAGATCATGCTTAGTGAGATAAGCCAGAAAGAGAAAGAAAAATACCGGATGGTTTTGCTCATAGCAGGAGTATAATGGACCAGGCGAGATAATAACAAAAATAATGAACAACCATATACCAGAGACATTTTGCGGGGGTTGAGGGGGAATGGGATCAAAAACGGGGCGGGGGGTAGAGAAGGAAGTGCACGGGATTATGGTGATGACACATGGGTGACTTGGTGATGGGAAACCTGCGGGATTACAATTGAGATGGGAAAAAATGTACAAAATGATGTAAAAATAAACTTATAAAATAATAAATATTAAAGTCAACACTTCCCACTTTAAAAAAAAAAAAAAAGTGCTTATCTCAACTGCAGTGTGAACATTCCAGGCTGCAAGTCAGTATGGCTGCCTTGCCAGTCAGTTGATGAAACCATTATGGAAAACAACCTGGGTTTATCTTAAAAAATTAAAAATAGAAATACAATGCGACCTGGCAATCCCACTCTTGGGCACGTCACCACAGATTAAGATACTATCAACAGAAAAAGTATGTCCTACGGTATTTATAGCAGCGTAATGTGCGTAGCTAAGATATGGAAGCCCTCATCTCCGTGGCCAAAAGGATCGAGAAAAAGCGGGGGACATACATAGGCGGGACAGGCCACACTCACAAGAAAAGATGAAATGCAGCCATTTCCAACAAAATGGAAGGAACTTGAAAACTTTTCTGCAGCAAAAACAGGTCAGAAAAAAACAAATGCTGGGCATTTGGCAGCATAAAACACTTTCCAAACTTCTGGACATTAACAAATACAGGGAATGTGAGGGGTGGGGGCGGGGAAGTCGCCTTTGCATTTGTTGCAAGCAAGACTCAGCGCAAGTAATGCTGATGAAGCTCTTCCAGGGCCTAGATGTCCAGGTCACCACTACTCTCAGAGGTCAGTAATCTCACTGGAGGGGGTTGGAGAAACAGAAATGTACTAACTGAAAAGTAAGTCCGCTCAGTGAATGAAGACGAGCTAGTTAACTTTAGATATGCTCCGCACTAATCGGCTGTAATTCTTGTTGGCCTGGTAATTGGTAGTGTTCGTCACACATGTAAGAGCACATAAAAGTTCAAAGATTTCTTATAATCCTTTGGGATCAGATATGAAGTGTACTGTTATAGACTATGACATGTAATACCTATTTTACCTTTTCAAAAAAAATCAGTTTTAACATTTTAATTTTTAAAATATAGTATTGGTGGGCCCTCCCTGGTGGTGCAATGAATTAAAACTTCAGCACTATGAAGCTCTCTACAGCCACTGCAGTGCGAAGCAGGTTCAATCCCTGGCCAGGGAGCTGACCCACATGGCGCAGCAGACCTCTCCTCACCTGCCTGCTGCTCCCCTCAGCAATGCATTTCAGTAGATCTGCCTGTTCTGCTCCCCACTCTGTCTCTGGTGAATCCTTTTACCCCTTGTACCTCCCCAGTTCTTGTATGCATAAATAAATAAATCCTTTTTAAAAAAAAAAGTGTGCCATTGGGTTCATCTTTGCCACTTGACAGTGCAGACCTGGTCAGCTCCGCAAAGACCTCTTCTTTCCTGGTAACAAAACCCCTTTCAGAGAGAGTAAGGTATTACTGTAGTCCCAAGGGAGAAACTGGTTTTTCCCAGATTAGTCATCATGCTCTCCCATCCTTGGAAGGACCGTGGGAGCTAACTCTGACCAGTAAAATGTCCACAATCATTTTGAGTGGGATGTCTAAGGAAGCTTTTACTTTTCTGACTGAAAAAGGAAGAATCTTAGCAAATTAGCTTGTCTCTTTGACTTTTCTCCTAACTAGAAAGTAGAGGAAGCAGCTAGAAATACAGCAGTCACTTGGTAACCATGAAGCAGCAGCACTGAGGAAGAGAAAAATCAATACACCAAAGATGGCGGAGAGAAAGGGCCAGCACAGGTCACACAGCATTAACAGTCAGATCAGGTCTGCTCGATCTACTCCTTGGATTTCTTGTTAAACAAACCGAGGGACTTAATCCAAAGCAGAAGGGATTTTGTTTCTTGCCACTGGACATACACTTGATACAATGGAATACATCAAACAATGTAATAAAATCTGTATTTTAAAAAAAAAGTCTGACTCCTAAGTGTCAAGCACCTAAAAAACATCTAATAAGACAACAGCAGAAAAGGAGCACTTTTATTGCAGAAACATTGGCATCTAGACATTCTTGGCCGCTGCTATGTACTTGGCCAGAAAGTCTTTCACTTTGGATATATGCATCGTTTCCTTCATGGTGGTGTCTCTACTTCTCAGATTTACTAATCCATTCTCCAAAGTAGCTTCAGTGATCAAAATAGTGAAGAGGATACTCATTTCATCATATCTAAAAAAAAAAAAAAATTATACAATGTAAACTGTGAATTCACCACGTTACCAGTTTTCATACGTTAGAGTCTCTGCGTCCAGAGTCACAAAACTCAGAGGCAGGGCTTAAGGGTTGAACCAAGTTTCAAGTTTCTGAATCTTATTCAAAGCAAAATTTCCAGAAAGTTTCTGACTAAAAGGTCAAAACCGAAAATGAAATTTGAGAAATAAAGCCTGGTATTTTAACCTACCATCTGGGGGGACATTTTAGATCAATCTCAGAATAAACTCAGTCTTATGGTACTTGGATGCAAATTAAAAAAAAAAAAAAAGTCTAAAACATTACCACTAAATAAAGATCCAGTGTGCAAGTTAAACCAAGATCATGCCCGATCTGTAACCTGGTGCGGTAAGTCGCAGCTTCTAGCCCAGCAGTAACTAAACAGAGCCGCTCCGGCCCTCCTGCCGGGCCAGTCACTAATGGTTCCTTTCACCACTGTAGGAAAGGGTGAAACTCCGTCAGAAATCATCTTACTTATCTGCTTACTCAGTGTTTATTCTATCCCACTAGGCTATAAGCTTCGTAAGAACTGAAAACCTTTCTGTCTTCTTTATGGCTGTGTCAAGGGCAGAGCGCACAGCAGAGAGTCAATAAATCTTTTTGCAGAAAAGAACATCCTAGGACAATAAGGGCTTCATCACATAAAGAACAACTCTCTAACTTGATAACATCCACATGAGTCAAACAGTAAGATTCTACAACCTGAGGGAACTGAAAAGTTCAAGAACCACCCTTCACCTCATAAATGACAGTCATTTATTGCTCTGTGTGTAGAAATTTAATTTTTCTGCCATCATCTGAAAGTTGCTCTAACATGTTACCTGAAGAAAAAAACAGGAAGCCTCACAATTTATGACCCGGAAGATGGCACACAAAGTATACTCAACACAAAAAGCTTTGCAAATAACCAAACAAGCCCAAAGGAGGGAAGAACAGATCACTTCAGGGAAAAGCAGAACTCTATGAAACAGCAGAAGGTAGGCTACAGGCAAAGATATTAATCAGCTTATTTCTGTAACTGAGCAGAGAGAGATCAGTGAGCTCAACTGGGTAGTGGCAGGAGGGTGGAGACACACGCAGACACTTCAGGCAGCAGGCAGATGGGCGTTCATGATGGGCGGTGAGGAAGAGGGAGGGGCTGGGGCAACATCCGGCCCCCCCCTGCCAGGCCAGACACAGAGGGCTGATTACAGAGAAGGCGCTTTCGCCACCGTCGAGCGTGATGCCCACTCACTGTCAGAGTAAACCACAACACAACGCGAAAGGCACTTTACCAGCTTCACTCAGTCCCGATCCAACAGAGGCATGCACTGTCTGTGATTCCATCACTGATCAATCAATGCAGATACACACATTTCATGACATTAAGTCTTAAAGGTGCACATAATATGTGCTCAAGTATGAGTAGTGTTTCTTGCTATAGCAATTAAGGGCACATAGTTCTCTGAACTTTAGAGAATAATTTTATGTATATTTACATTGTGTTTACATCTATGTGTACTCAGAGGCTTCATTACTCAGACATAACAGCTGTTTGTCTGAATAACCCTATTTTTTGGTGACAAATTCTTACTTTGAATAAAGTTGTTCCATGGAGGACTGCATGGTTTCCAAATAACCAGGCCACACAGAAATTCCGTTTTCTAGCAATTCATTAAATAATCCTTGACACACCTGGGGAAACAAGAAAACTTCAAATACGAAAGAAAAGAAATGAAGTCGCTAGAGTGGTTATTCCATATTTGTAAAATAACACACAACATTTTCAACTTTAACATGTGTTCAACCTCCTGTATGCGACAATACTGTTATAATTTACATTGTACACTTCTAAAACTGTACTTCCTCTGAAAATGAAGAAATGAAACACCACAAAGCTGAAAATGCAAATCTTCTCTGAAATTTTTATATTAAATACAAAAGTTATTACTATCATCATGATCATCTGAAAACCTAAGCAGATTCCAGAGGGAAAGTGACCCAAAGGGCTATCTATGTTAACTCTGAGCTCATCGGAGAATTGAGAATTGCCAGGAAGAAAAGGAAACCATGGACACTGGAGAGGAACAGCCAGGGCCGTCGCGGAAGACAGGCAAGTGCTATTCTCAGCCAGCTAAAGAAAACACTCGGAGACGACCGATTCGTTGGAGTAGAGGCTGCAGACAAAAACCAGACAGGAGGTGAAGAAGTAATAGTGGGAGACATGGGAATGTAGCTGTTGTAATAAGCAATGAAGTGAAATCAGGCAGGATTTAAAAGGCCCTTCAAAATCTCAGCTTGAGTTCCAGAGCAGGAGTTCCCCACCGGCATTGCCGATACAGGGGTGTTGCCACATCCCTGGCCGCCACCAGGTGCCCGGAAGGCCCTGACCCTCTGTGACGACCAGTGCGTCTCCACACGTTCCCAAATGTTCAGGGGGGGGGTGGGGGGGACTGAGCAAACCTGGAGGGCTCCTCCAGACAGGCTGCTCAGCCTCTCTCCCACCTTCTGAAGCATCAGGTCTGTGGTGGGAACCAAGAAGCTGCATTTCTAACTTGTTCGAAGGGAAAGACCACAGCAGAGTAAATGGGTGTTAGGGTATTTGGTATCTGGAGGATGAGAATGTAGATATTAATAAATCTAATAAATTAATAGGGAAATAGATATATTTCCAGCAGAAATATCTGCCAGCAGAAAATCTGCTCTTTCCACTAGAAGTCAGAAAAGGAGAGAAGCAGCTCTGAGCATGACTGCCCGCTTTGGGAGACCCCGGGAAATGAGAACCCTCCTACACAGGTCTGAGCTCTCTAGCGGCACCCCCAAGAGAGTGGGGGTGGGGCGGGGCTCTTTATAGTTTTGTCACTCAGGTCTGAGTCATTCAGGCAGAAATAATGCCTGGTAGAGAGGTCCCTGAGAGAAACGGACCCACCCTCCAGGCCTTTCTCATGGTTACTCAGACTACAGACGTTAGGGGAAACAGTCAAAATAAAACTGTAGCTCTAGAATCTGTGCTTATACCAAACCATTATGTTAAAAAGGGGAGGGAGCAAGAAATAATTCATATTTGTACAAATAACTTAATTATCAAAACTGTGGTCTTATTATCAGAGTACAGCTATGGCTGGGCATGAGAGCAGGGCACCTGCTGAATTGCACTCTGTGCCTTTTAAAATGCTCCAAATTATCTATAATTAACGCAGCTCATCATTTAAGTGTAAAAAAGCAAATAAAAAAAGATAAAATTTTCAATGGCAAGTTACCCATTTACTCAGAAAAATGGTTATAATTTAAATGACAGTAAAACTCATTTGACCCACCTGTCTCAGTTCCACTGTGGGGCCTCTTCCCACATCCAGAGCAACTTTAATCGGAGCTAAGCAAGGATGAAGTTTAAGTACCTAATGCAATTTAAAGAAGGACACACATATAGTTTAACAACACTAGTACAACCAAACAGTTCTTAAACAGTGAAAGCAGAAGCGGGTTTGTGGTCACAAGAAGTCGTGTAATGCAGTCTTTTCTGCCCTCTGTAGCCAGCTGCTCAGAGACCTCCCCGCTACATGTTCTGCAGAAGTGAGTTCCCTTGATACGCTGGCGTTTCCTGACAACTCCACTTGCCTGACTCCAGCGGCCCCTTCCCAGCATCACTGTCCTCTCAGAGCTTGGGCCACGGGGTTATCAGCATCTGAGCTTTCTGGTGCAAAAAAAAAACTCCCCCTCGTCTTGCTCAATCAGCACTTAAAAGACTACCTGGTGCCAGAAACAGTTCAGTGTGCTGGGGACCAACTTTCTTGTCTTTCATGGTGAGGGAGAACAGGCAATAAACAAAATAATCCTATAGGAAGATGATTAAGAGCTTAAAAGAAAGGAAGAAGTGCTGGGAGACAGAGCTGGCAGGGGGAGGAGGCCGCTTGAGGTGTTTAAATAAAAGTGGTGGGAAGGTCACTCTGGGCACTGCCATCCTGGAAGGGAGGCTGCGAGCAAGGCACAGATGCTAGTGGAGAGTACTGCAGACCCGGAACAAAGGGCAAGGGAGCAGCTCTGGCGTGTTCTGGAGCAGCAGGGAGGCCCAGTGGCTGGAGCAGGCTGCTTCAGGCGCACACAGCAGAGGGCCAGAAAGGAACAGGTTTTGTCAGCAAACATTTTGGGGGTGTTGGCTTTTCTTCTGAGTGAGATGAGGCTTCCTGGAGTGTTTTGGGCAGAGAAGCAAAGCAACATGTAACTTAAAAAGTCGCTCTTGGTGGCAGGAGGGCTAGACAGTGGCTTAAGTAGCAATGGTACAAAGGGACAGATTCAAGATAAATTTTGAAGGTAGAGCCAGGCGGGTTTTGCTGCTGGTGTGGACATGGGCGGGAGACAGAAAAGGTGCCCCTTGTTTGTTTGCCACGCCTGCCCTCTAATCCTAAACTCGGAACAATCTCAAACTGGACGTTCTCTGTGGCCGCAGCGGCTAAAATGCAAGTCCCTGTGCAGAGCGGTGCTGCCCGCTCTGGCTCGTGTCCCCAGCCCAGTGCTCAGCATGTGGCAACTTCCTCTCGCGTTCGGCGGGGTCTGCCACTAACACACCTACTCCTCCACATTTAAGCTAGTAATCATGCCTTCCAATTTCCCGATGATATACAGGAGGTAAGTAAGACCTCCTTCAAAGGCTAGCCAGACCTGGCAGCCCATTTCTGTGTATCCCATCATTTCTTTCCTTCTTGCTATCTGGAATAACTCCTCTTCCAGACAAATCCCTTCACTGTGTTTGTGATCCTGTCTCGACCTGGTCCAAAATCGTCACTGGTTTTCCCTCATACAGCACCCCACCCTGCTTCTCTTGAGTGAGAGCATAAAAATGGTCTCACTGCCAGTCCTAAAAGAAGCCCCTCCCTAGGCCCACAATCTCATCCAATCCCGCTGGTCTGGGCTGACACAAATGGATGCCCTCAGGGGTTAGCAGCAGCAGGCCCCCTCCAGCTGACCGTGAGCAAACAGAAATGTCTCTGGGTTACCCAATAGGGTGGTTGGTTTAATTCTCTGGGCACCAGTTTATTATTACTGTGCCTATGTTCTAAAAAGCTGAAAAATGTTTGTATTATTTACACTAAGAGAAATTTATTACTCAGGGTTTTGCTGGAAATCAAGTGCATTAACATTAAAAGGGAGGGGGGAACGATATATTTTTAGCCTCCCAAGTCTAACTTTGGAATATGGAAAGCACCTTTCTATGAAGATTTTTCTTTCTCGTGAAAGAGTTCTCCGTTAGTTGGAAGGAGTCATACAGGTAAGCCAGCAAGCCTCTGTCCAGATCTCCAGTCACAGATAAAACAGAAGGAACCACATTCTTTCGTCCATCTCGACCCTTCATAGAAAAGTAGGACAAAAAATATTTAGCAGAATTATTTCTTAAGATCATATATTTTAGACTTATACAGTGAAAATATAAACTTCCAAATTTACTCTTCAAAGCATCCATTCTGTGCAAGCCACTGTCAGTCACGGGGCCCACAAAGATGATTAGTAACAGTCTCTGCTCCTGGGGAGTTCAGGGTGTAGATCACCGAGTGTTTTTTTTTTTTTAAGATTTATTTATGCATGCAGAACTGACTTATTTAATAGACTTAATTGACTAGTTAGGAATGTCTTGAGTTTTAAACCAGAAGGGTGATTGAGGCCCACTCTCAGAGATTCTGAACTAACTGGACTGCAGTGGGATCGAGGCATCACTATTTTTTCAAAGCTCCCCAGGTTAAGAATTGACACTTGAAAATTTGAAGATTATAATACAATCCAGAAAAATCCTTAAAGAAAATAATGGGTATGCTTATGGAAAGGAGCTTGGGGGACTATTTATGGGAGTATAAAGTTACTCTCATAATGAGCAAACAGCTTTAAAAAACTTGCTTCTTAAGTTACGGCTTTAAGGCTATGATTATGAATATTAAATATAATATAATGCAGGATATAGACCAAGTACTGTTAAACTATTTCCTCCTTTTTAAACTGATGAGGGAAAAATCATCTCAAATTTTATAAAGGGTTAATTCTAGAAAAATATTTTATGGTTTAATATAAGCAGTTCCAGTTTCCGTTCGCCTTCCCTTTCTCCTTTTGCCAGGATGAAGTTTTTGGCCTGAAGCACTGAGCTTGGGATGTCCAGGGCCAGACTCCGGGCTAGCGTGCCTGGGGCGCCAGGCCAGGCTTTCTAACTTGCCTCTTCCTTCCCTTCTCCCCTAAGTTCTGGGCAGGACGCCTGGTGAGGGGGCTTTAGAGGGCGAGTGGCACCCCAGGCGCAAGCCTCTACCTAGTCTTTCTTCCTCCTTTTTCATGGGACATTCACCTGAAGTGTCTGGGCGGGGGTAGGAGGAGAACTGAGGCTCCTCAGGGTTTTGCTATGTATAAGAAATAAAAAATAATACACAGATGATCCTGGAAGCCAGGCTTCTCACTCACTGCCAAATAAAAGAATCACAGAACCACCATTTCACAGTCCTTTGCAAGAATCTGCAATGGATACTACAATTGGCAGGTCAAAATTTGGTCAGAAAAAGGATATTTATGTAGTCTTAAATTAACTGCCCATAAAAGACTTACTCATTAGTAAGCATAAAATGCTTGTCAACTTTCTATTACAGGAATCTGGTAGCACCATTTTAACCAAGTGATAAAAGTAACCATTGATATTATATGCCTCCTGCCATGATGCCTAACGGGTATTCCTAGCAAAAATACTTAAATCATCAGAAAACACTGGAGAAATCCAAACTGCAGGGACATTCTACAAATTAATTGGTCTGTATCCTTTTTATTTTATTATTTATGCATCTAAGAACTGGGTGTAGACTGGAGTGCAGGAGGTGAGAGGATTCACCAGAGACAGACTGGGGAGTAGAACAGGCAGATATACTGAAATACACTGCTGAGGGGAGCAGCAGGGAGACAGGAGAGGTCCGCTGAGCCATGTGGGTCACTCCCTGGCTGGGGATCAAACTCATGCTGTAATGGCCAGCAATCACTTGATAGTGCAGACTTTATTTATTTATTTTTTAAAGATTTACTTATTCATGCATACAAGAGCTGGGGTGTAGGCCAGAGATGCAGTGGGTGAGAGGATTCACCAGAGACATAGTGGGGAACAGAACAGCTGCACTGACTGAAATACACTGCTATGGGGAGCAGCAGACGGACGAGATAAGGAGAAGTCTGCTGTGTCAAGTGGGAAACCTCCCCAGCAGAGAATAGAACTCAAGCTGCAGTGGCTGCGATTACTTCATTGTACTGTGTCACAATCCTGCCACTAGAGAGGTCCCCTATATTCTTCAAAAATGTCAGGGTCATCAAAGACAAAGAGAGGAAAAGGAACTGCTCATCTGAGGGAGACTTAGGAAACATGATAACTGCAAGAAATAGGTGATCCTATAAAGGTCCATCCGGAACCTATAAAGGTCCTATCAGAATAATCTGTTCCGTCTGAAAGGCTTGTGAATTAGCCAGCTATACAGGTGAGTGTTGCTACACTTGAGAAATATATACTGAACTACTAAGGTCACAGGGCACCTTGCCTGCACCTTGTTCTCAAATGGTTTAAACTTGATCACAGAGAATCTGCAGAAAGGCTACACAGGAGCTAAAGGTAAAACATACGTGTAACTTAGATCCATTTCCAGGATACATGTGTAAAAGTTCACGATCTCCTAGATTCCACAGGGTTTCTATTGGCTCCTTTCCCCAAGGGAAATTGTAGTAAAGTGTGTTTCCTTTTCGTCCCTCTTCATCCTGACAATCACTGCTGCTGAAATTGGATGGACTCACAGCAAACTAGAAAAGAAAGTGATACGTAAAGATGCCCAAGATTTCCAAAGTGGTCAAATCACAAATAAAAACTGTGAAGTTTAATTAAATATGAGCAATGTACTACTAAAATTACTGTGTTTTAGTTTGCAAAACTATAGAGAAAAACTGTTGGCTGCTATCAGCTAGCCTCTTTGGGGTCAAGTGATAAAAAGGAGAAGTAACCACAAACTGGAAGTATATACACTAACCATTCTTATTCTCCTGTGAAGTGCTTGATTACTTGTGAGTACTCTGCTTAGTTTAGGTGAGTGTTTGGGGATTTTAAGAGTTGGAGAAAGAAAAGATAAGTCAGACAAAAATGCTTGGTACAATTTTATCTTCAGCATAAATTAAAACTTGGTTATAAATCACAGAGCCATCTGAATAACATGGAGAGTTCATGGAGGTAGGAAGCAAAAGCTGCAGATGGTATGAGTGAGCAAAGGTGAACCTCAGCACCAGCCAGGAATGCCAGGTGAGTGCTGAACTTAACTTCATGTTGCATGTGAAGGCTTATCAAAAAACTCTGAGCAAGAGATGCCAAATGTCTTTACCAAAGTAACTTTGTTAGACAGAACAGTGAAAATTATTAGTTTTTTATTTGTATTTGTTGACTTACCCTAATTGTCTCTTATAAATGTAACATAGGAACATCAAATATCATTTCATTTATTACACAGAAGTCCTACCTCTGACACACAAAGACAGCTTACCTATTAATGATTAAATGAAGGGTAATTATTGTAGTACCTTTCTCCACCACAGGAGTCGATGACGTAGCCAGAAGTCCAGCCACTGGCTTGCAGTTCTTGCTGAAGTAAACCACACAAGTGAAGCTTCAGTCTTCTCACCAATTCTTTGGATATCAGAGATATCAGGTATTTATTATGAGAAAATTAGGTGATCTATCCCAAAGTAAAAATGACTAGTTCATGACCATTTACATATAAGCCCAAGTCATTTGCCATATTTTGTACCTTTTAACACCATCAGGTGTATGTTTAGTTTCAGAGACAGGATGAAAACACACTCCGATTTGAGCAAGGCCATAAGGTAACTTCTTGTTCACCAGATCCAGGCAATTAACATAGTGTGACAAGGCACCTGTCAAAAGAAAAATAATTGTCTTCATCTACTCTATAAGCCCAATTATCATTGTGTTAAATACACAAACAGGTGGATAGACTAACTCTAATGCACCCAGGATAACAGCACAGTGTTACTAAGGCAGATTTCATTGACAAAACTAAGGCTCTACTTAGTTCTAGGTAGAATTGTTTCAACTTTTAATCATTTTCAAATCTACAAAAAGTTGAAAAAAAATAGCACATGACTATCTGTAAATCCTTTTCCTAGATTCACCAGCTGTCAACATTTTGCCATTTATTTTCTTGTTCACCCTGAAACATTTCAAGATACATCTACTAAAGTTTCAAGTATTTTTACCACACAATCAACACCGTATCATAAGTTCATCTGGCATATGCTTAGTATTTTATTTTCTCCAATCTTCACTCAAAATGTCATTTGTGGCTCTTCTTTTCTCCCTAATCAAGGTCATGCACTGCATTTTGAAATCGTTTCTTTGATACCTTTGAATCTAGAGTGTGCCCCTGGCTCCTTTCCTTTTAATGGTATTGGCTTTTGATTTGAGCCCAGATCAGTCAAGATTACTTCTCACTAGAGATTTGCCTGGTTGCTTCCTTACGATTTAATTTGGTTAACCATTTTTAGCAGAAGAAATACTAGACAGTTGATATGGATTTCTTATTGCATCTTAATGGAGGGACATGTTATCAAGATATCTCACTATTAATAAAACCAAATTTGATTATCCCTGGTTAAAGTAGTAAAAAACAGCTCTCCAACAATATCCTGCTGCCCAATATTTTTTTTTCAACCAATATTTTAAATCTGTTGGAGATCCTTGCTTGAACTAATTATTATACTGGGGATTGCAAAATCATGAAGCAGAGATACTCTGGACCTAGACCTCCTTCTCTATTTATTGCATTGCTTCTGTAAAACCATAAACTTTCTCCACCTCTTCTCTCTACAAAGCTCCTTATTTATTTATTTTTTTGGTTGGCACTAAGGATTTTGCTGTTATAATTCATTAACATATTATTCAATGGGTCCCAAATTCAGCCAGTGGGAGCCTTCTTAAAGCCAGCATCTGTTCCTTTGCTATGACTCCATTAGTCTTCAAATAATTCTTTGCTTTCTAGCACCACAAAATGTGCCAAACTTGTCCTGTACTTTCCTGTCCCAGACCAGGACGCCATTTTCCAAATACTGGTTCATTTTAGAAATCAAGATCTGGCATTAGCAGTGTTCAATGCCATGAAAACTATTGCTTTTTTTTTTTTTAGATTTATTTATTTATGCATATAAGAACTGGGGTATAGGCCAGAGGTGTGGTGGGTGAGAGTATTCATCAGAGAGAGTGGGGAGCAGAACAGGCAGATCTACTGAACTACACTGTTGAAGAGAGCAGTGGGTGGGTCAGAAAGGGTCTGCTGTGCCCTGGGGGTCACCTCCCTGGCTGGGGATAGAACCGGTGCTGCAATAGCTACAGACAGCTTCATAGTGTTGCACTTTAACCCATTGCGCCACCAGGGAGGGCTCAAATCATTGCTTCTTTTTTTTTTTTAAAGATTTATTTATTTGTACAGAACTGGGGTACAGGCCAGAGATGCGGAGGGTGAGAGGCTTCACCAGAGACAGAGTGGGGAGCAGAACAGGCAGATCCACGAAGTACACTGCTGAGGGGAGCAGCGGGCGGGTCAGGAGAGGTCTGCCTCACCATGTGGTCGCCTCCGGGGCAGGCGGGAATCGAACTCATACAGAAGTGGCTTTAGATTCTCAGTGCTGTGCTTTAACCCGCTGCGCCACCAGGGAGGGCCATTGCTTCTTTTAATGGAGAAATTTAGGAAATATATATTTTGTAAAGTTTTAAAATTTAGTATTAGTATTAACAATTCAAATTTAACAATACAGAATTGACCCTTGCCTTCTATATTTGAATCCCTTTCTTCTTACAGTGACAATCTTGGTTTGTTGTATTTTAAATGAGGGCACTATGTTCAAAAGTTACTTGATTTGAGATTTCCACTTCTGGTAACAGCAGACTAGCTTGCTGAGAACAAGAAAAACTGGTCAAAAAAGCTTTCTGTTCAAAGACATATGAGAGTTTATCTAAGAAAGTAAAGACATGAAGATCCAAATTTGGAGACAGGAAGAGCAGAAAAGTGAGCCCGGCATTTAGTGCTGGTCTTCTAGTCCTCCAGCGGTGGCGGCAAGAAGCTGAAATGCTGTGAACTTTCTATTACAGAGTCTGGGAAATACAAAAATTGTAGTTTCTGACTCATCAAGGTGGGAGAGGGGACCCTGGTAGATACTTCAGGAATTCATGAGGGACACTCAGAGGGCTGCACACTCACAGGGGAGAGTGAAAAGACTGAAGCCCAGCCTCCAGCTGAACTCCATCCCAGACTGCTGTAAAAACTTAAATCCTCTCAGGAAGAAAGCACTACCCCCAAAGCCTCAATCTATCTCACACTGTTCTATACACAAGTTACTTGAGACTCCCATGGCGAAAATTCAAGTCACCATAACCCAAAGACATAGATAACAGAAACAGGTTCATGTGATTAGACGTGGACTTTGAAATGTGATAAATGTGTTCAAGAAAGCTGATAAGATGGAAGCAAGGTTGAACATACATGCAATTAATCACAGGACTAGGGAAAGGTAATGGGACAACACCAATATTTGGGGACAGAACTGTGGAGAATTTTCTAAGACTTGTACGCTGATGCTACCACAATCATTCTGATATGGAATAGAGAAAACAAGAGCACTAGGAATAGAAAGAAGTAGCCAACTGCTTAAGTCTATGCCAAAACCACTAAACAGCCAAAGAATTTGGCAAACCGGTGGCTTTACATTTCCTGAAGGCAAGACCAGGCCTCTGCATAAAAAGGCAGAAAAATACTGATTTGCTTTGGAATATGGTAATCAGCCGTGACTTAACTCCCCCAAAGGAAAGCTATGCATGGAATAATTAAAGTAGTACAAACCAAAATTCTCACATTTATGTTATCCAGATTTCTTTAAAAGGCTACATACAATATGGATACTAATTTCCAGAGAACCAGGGAAGCTGGCTATCTGTAATTGCTCTCCAGGAACACCTAATGAAAAGCGGCAAGGGGCATTTTGCAAACATCAGTCACAGTGGCAGCACATTCTGTCCCCTACAGAACCTGTTCACACAGAATTTTTGCACCGTTCTGGTTGACTTTAAAGGCAACTGGTACCCTACCAACTTCAGTGTATTCACTCAAGAATCACTTACCACGCTTAATTCGTCCTACTGTTTTTCAAACTGAAAAATTTGCCTGCAGGGCTCTTCAAACCACAGTCGGTAGATCTGTTTTCATTAAGAAAAATGGAGTGGGGGTGGGGGGCGGGTGGGGAGGAGAACCTCCCTGATGGCGCAAGGGGTTAAAGTTCAGCACTAGGAAGCTGTCGGCAGGCAGCCACTGCTGCAAGAGTTGGGGCCAGGGAGCAGAGCTCTCCTGTCTCCTCAGTGCTCCCCTCAGCAGTGTATTTTAGTAGATCTGCCTGCTCTGCTCCCCACTCTGTCTCTGGTGAATCTCCTCCCCACATCCCGTCACTGGCCTGTACCCCAGTTCTTGCATGCATAAATGAATGAAATCTTAAAAAAAATTGGGGGAGGGCAATCAGCTCTTGATTAACAAGTCCACTGTGTGCAAACCTGAAGAGCGACTAAGGAAATATCTGTAGACGGCGTGGAAATGATGTACAAATGATTCAAACACGTAATTATCAGTGGAACTCAGATTCTAGGGTTGCCACGAGAAATGCGCGCATTACCAGCCCCTTGGAGGCTCTTTCAGAACAACCAAATACTCCTAACTAGATCAGACAGCTGAGCAGCAGAGGTCGTCTTTTGCACGTGAACAAAGGGCCAGGTTGCAATTCCCGAAGATGAGACTGCTCTTCCACCCGACACCTGGTTTGGAGCGTGAAATCGTGAAGCATACCGTGAAGGAGGCTCTCCCGTAGTTTCCCAGAAGTTTTTAGTAAGTTCTCAAGCAATGTTACTAGCTGTTCCTTACTCAGTTCTTTGTCTTGCAAGATTTCGCGTAGAGTTTCTGCAGAAACTAACCTGAAGGCACCGTCCCCCGGCAGCGAAGGGCCCGGCTGGTGGTGGGGCGCGTCCACCCGCAAGACCTGCTGCTCCCTGAACACCACTACTGAGGACCACCATTCCGCCGCCAGGTTCTTCCGTAATTCTACGCCCAAGGGGCCGAAGCCGGGGTGGCACCCGCTCAGAAGAGAGTCTCGGCTAAGCGGCAGCTCCGTGTTCCTGAGGAAATGCCTCCTCTGACAGAGCTCTACCAGCGCCTCGCCGCCTGCCCCGGGCTCGGGGTCTTCTCCCGGCCCGCTCCCCGCGGGTGGCTCCGCGTGCGAGCTCAGAGGCCCTCCGAGGGCGCTACTCCCTGTTAACTGCTCCGGCTGCCCCCCCTCTACTCGGCCACCAAGGTCAGAAATCAGGCGCCTGCAGACCCTCGGGCAGGCCCTCAATGCCGCCCCACAGCGCATGGCCCGCGGGAGTCAAGGAGCACAAGACCCGAAAGCGGGCAGAAGCCTACAAACTGTCACCCACCCGCGAATGCCCGGGAGGCAACTGCGCAGGCGCGGCGGAAACGGCGGCAGACCCCGCCCACGGAAGCGCGTCACTGAACCCCGGCTGCGCCGACTGCGGGCTTCCCCCTCCGCCATGTTGTAAGCCGACCTTCGGGGTTTGCCTGTCAAGCACGGTCCTGCCCTTGCCCCCGCCCCTGTATTTAATCATCCCTTCTTGGCGACGCGATTCCCCTCTACTTTTCACTGTCGTGCCGCGATTGCTCCATGTCTTAGCCTCCTGGCTTTGTATTATTACAAATGAAAATATCTGTGTCCTCCAACTCGTTCAAGTACACCTCATGAAAATAAACTTGCTCTAATTTTTAGTTTTACTCCACTAAGGTGGCTTAGGGCCCCAAGCAAACTCAGCAACTCTCGGTCAATGTCAACGCCAGCGTCTGCCTCCCGTAGGAAAGGGGAGCGCGGGCGCTGACTGGGGGATGGTAAAGATTGGTTGCCAGTTAAATGCCACCGAGGGACACGCACATTTTTCTACTCTAAGGAGTAAAGACATGCAGCAAAATTTTGGTTTGAGAGATTCGGGGTTCCCTAGCAGGCGTATGAAAATCTAAGTCTTCGAACCCTTAAGAAAATTTTGCTGAACAGTGGAAAATCGGTATACAGCTCAGGCTGAGAAAATGCAGTCCGATTCCAAAGCCAACTGGTCCCTGCACTTCCAGCTTCCTGAAGTGGCTAACTTTGAGACGAACCCAGGTGAAATGAACAAGTGCACTCCACTACCAACAGTGTAGTTTATAAAGGAAGTATTTGAATATGGTCAAGTTTAGGAAAGAAATTATTTTGCAGGCATGTGTGCAAGTTTGAATAACCATAAACTAGAAAAAGTACTGCTGAAAAGCAATTAACCTCAAAAGTGGGCCCTGCACACCAGGGAAGAGGCCTCCACGCAAATAAATAAAGGAGAGAATGGGGAGAAAAAATCACATTTATTAGTTAGGACAACCACAGGCTGGACACAACACACATGCTAAAAAGTGGACTGTCTTTCAAAGGTAAATAAGGTAAATGTTTTTTCCACAGCCCCACAATCATTTTCAGTGTTTACAAATTAAAAGGCCCACGTTAAGACATTAAACAGTAAAATATGTAATAAATGCTCCAATCTACCCCAAAAGCTTCTTATAAATTATGTCATAATGAATTTGACTAACCATGCTATTGAAAACAACTCAGTAACTAGAAGCTGAGCCAGTTTTCAATGTATTAGTCCTGGAAATACCACTCCCATAAAACCCACCGAACTGGTTTTACATCTTAGAGATAAGGCATTAACACCAAATTAAAGCCTCAGTTCAATTAGAATTTAAATGAAGCCTCATAAAGACCTCCACTCTCCTAACAAAAAAGTCAACATACCATATCAAACTCTCTGGGAAGACATTCAGACCTATTTCTACAGATTCAAACAAAAGATTTAGAAAGGCTGGTAAGCCAAAATTAAATTTTTAGAGCCACTCCCTGGATCTTTCTAGCAATAGGCTCCTGTTGCTCCCAACAGGATGGCTTGTACTGTAGTCACTGTGCTTTCTGGTTATCCATGCTCTCGATTAACCATCAACCATTTTTCTTGAGTCCACTTGAATGTGAACAGATCTTAAAGTCTTTTATCCTTTAAAATTCCCTGCATTAATGGAAAGACATTCCTGACCCCCACTATGACCACAGTTAGTCGCAGGAAGCTTGTTAAAACTAGAAACTACATATAACCTGCATTTGAATACTGAAAAATTCAAATTTTGCGCTTGGCCAAATCATCTTGAAAGGTTACGTCTGTGTTAGTTTTGTCCAACTTAATTGCTCTTCTCAATAGAGCCAAGAGCATGAATAGAATCTCTGAAAAAGCAAGTTCTGAAGCTTTTCAAATTATGGGTTTTGCAAAAGGAACAATCATATCTTTGTACAGCAGCTTCAGGGTAGAACTTTACAGTTATTTCCTGTCAACTATTTCACTATTAACTCATTTCACCAATTCTGCTAACACAACAGGATACCAAGGACTCACCTGGTGTTGGGGAGGTACTGACACAAAGTCTTTATGCAACTTAAATATTTACCTGTTATCAATCCCACTTTATGAATAGATTTTTTAAGGACCTTCTGATCTCCCACGTCCCAAAATTAAAGCACGTAAAAGGAGTAGTCAATTTAGTTAGGATCAAGGAACAGACCATCTATGCAAGGTTTTACATGACATATGTAAAATAAAGTACAATTTCCACTTAATTCAGTCTTCAAATATTTTTTATTGGAAGGCCATGCATTGCCTTCATTTATTGTATTTCAAATCACTGTACATTTACTTTTGTGAAAACACTGCCTGCATTTTCTAGTACAAAAAAAACCTAAAAATTGTTTCAGGAATGTAGAGAAATATCCAACTTAAATAGCGAAAAAGTGCACCATAATTACTGCTGCACTGCAGTCATTTCTGCATTTCCCATGTTTCTTAAATAACTATCTTGTCTGATAACACACAATATAAAGAGCAATTATGAAAAACAGACATTTACATATACTTAAGTCTTATTGGGAATATCCTGTTGGCATTGGATAACCAATCATAGGCGCAGCTGCAGTAGCAGGATATGCATATGCCTGTTGGTTCATACCATTGTGCATATTTGGAACGTTACTTCCATATTGCTGAGTGCTATCATAACCATTCTGGTAAGTCCCTGTTGGGTTACCAGTCCTAAAACTGGTCTGTATACCAGCAGACACAAAATTACTTCCAAAACTCCCATTGGTGTAATTTGCAGCACTGTAAACACCATTCTGAGTTTTTGCCCCAAAATCTCTCTTAAGCAGACTAGAGTAACCTCGGTCATAATTTTCCCTGTCTCTAAAAGTATTAAATCCACCCCTTTTGCCCGCAGAGTATCTGTCCCGGCGGTCATCCTTCATGCCTCCTCTACCCCTGGAACGACCTGTCAAAAAAAGAAAAAAAATTGCAGATTGATTATTTCTATGGTACAAATTATTAACATGGAAGGAATCAGGTAGGGTTATTCATTATAGCCGTAAACTGTTCTCTCAAATAGTTGCATATTAAAAAAACTTCACCTGCACACCAATCCCATTTTAAAACAGATGACAATGTGACCCCAAAGAAACCAACATCTCTTATGGAAGGTTGGTCTTACCTGAACCTCTGTCTTCGACCAACTGAAGCAACTTGGGATTAATTGCTTGATTAGCTTCACGAAGCACAGAGATAAGGTCGCTCACTTGCTTTATGTTATTAGGTGTAAAGAAAGTGTATGCTGTGCCTGTTTTGGTACTGCGAGCAGTTCTTCCAATTCGATGAATATAATCCTCTGAGGAGTTAGGGTAGTCATAATTGATGACAAATTTCACATCTTCCACATCTGTAAGGTGTTGCAGTGTGGCAAAATAGCAATGTACGGAGTTTTGCACACCACAACAGCCAGACCAAAAATAAAAAGTTAGACAATTGTATTCCCAAGAAGGTACGGGCTGCAAAAAACAGTTAAAATGGTTATCCATTCCCTGTAGGATTACCATTGAGGTTGAGAGAAAAAGGGAAGGGGGAAAAAAAAAAAAGAAAAAAAGAAAAAAAGCACATGTCATCTGTATGTCTCATTACCCTCCCAATGAAAGAGCCTAACAAAAGGAACATGTATTCCTGGCATAGTCCCATCAGCAAGTCCCCTTACAGATCATCAAGTGACATCTGAATGCTTCTGTGCAGTAGGGCCACTTAAAGGTTCACAGCAACCTCTTCATGTGCTCATTTTGAGGACCTTTAAACAAAAATGTACATGGTCCTTTGCATTTACACACTCATCAGAAGTTCAAAATTCTGGCCACACTGCTTGTCTTGCCAAGACCTTACAACTGCAGCTGCAAGAAAAACATACCTGTCCCCCAAAAGTTGTTTTTATGCACTGTGTCTCGTCTAGGCAAGCGCTTCCAAGAAGCCAGGATTCACTTGAGAATGTGTCTCTCTCTGGCAGGTCTCGACATGACGACTACTGTGTAGGTGAGGGAGGAACTTTCAAAGCACTGCTTTTCTTTTCCCACTGACTAAGTGTGAGAAGTTGCTCCTGCTCTAGATCTCATGTGCCAGTACTCACCAATTTGTAAAAGGCTTTAGTACCTTTTAAAGCTGCTCTCTCCTTTTCAAACTTGAACAAAAATTTCATTGAACATTGAAGTTTGGAAATATTTCTTCGACATTTCAGCAAACTCACTGAAACTCAAAGACCCACAGATCACAGTAAACAGTTTGAAACAATGCTGTACCATGGCAGTCATGCAAAGCATGGGACAGAAGAAATACCACGGCAGTGAACTGTGAGGATAACTTCCATTTTTTTCCCCCGGAGAGAACAGTTTACAGAGGCAGAGGTGGTATGTTCTGCCTTTTGAAGATTACTGGCACACTTTCAGCTTTTCACCTCTCTAATCGACTGGAAGCAGCCAGCCGATCACTAGTCCTCCATCCCCCTCGAGTCCTCCGATTGTCATGCCTAGGCCTTGCCACAAAGACTGCACCTTTATATGAAAAAAACTTAGAAAAAAAACGCAGAGGTTAAAGAAAGCAATAAACTTTCTTTAAAAAATTATATGGAGATCTTCTGGGAAATCAAGCCATGAATGCGAGTTTGTACTAACCTAGCCCTCTGGAGGCCACATCTGTAGCAATCAGAATAGGAGCTTTTCCATGTTTGAATTCTGCAAAAGAAAGCATATATACACACATATATCATCACTAATCTGAGTGGAATCTAGGTTTCAAGAAAAACTTTCATTGAAATATTTACCATTTAGAACCCAGTCACGTTCCTGTTGACTCTTGTCACCATGGATACCCATGGCAGGCCACCTAAATGAGAAAGACTTTATTAGTAGATTAATACTTAAAAAAACTTCACACATTAAAGCTAACAGTCATTTGATTCCTGATCCCTTGGAATCTGAAATTTCAATTTCAGCTAAAATAATGTATTATAGTTGATTTCTATCTATGAAACTGCTAATCTGTTTTGTATTTTAAAACACAGCCATAATACAGGTGCCTCAATGGACGCACTCCTACATACCCATCTCTCCTCATTTTTCTAGTAAGTTCATCACATCTTCTTTTGGTTTCAACAAAAACAATGGTTTTATTTTCCTTCTCACTCATGATCTCTTCCATCAGGCGAATAAGTCTTAAAGGAAAAAAAAAAATTTTAAACCTGCTGTTATAACCAAGCATTTGTAATCAAACATCAATTTAACAGCAGCCAAAAGAAACATTTCCCTAATCATTTATCAAGCAATTCTACCCTTATTCTTTAGTAAACCAAAGGATAGACCTTTTTCTATGGGACTACCACAAATAAGGTAGTGATCAATTATCTCAAGAGGGAAGCAAGAAACAATTTTCAGAAGGAATGTCTCATTTTAAATGAACCATTTAACTCAAATTCCACCCAACTGGAAGTTACTTTTTAAGACAGCATATAAAACAGCAAGTCGTCAATTTGTTTAAGAGCTAGCTGTTTTAAGGACTCACAGAAAGCTTATAAAAACTTACTTCTCATCCTTTTCCACATCATGACATACATCCACAATCTGAAGGATGTTATGGTTTGCACTCAGTTCCAGTGCACCAATGTTTATGTGAATATAATCTTTCAGGAAATCTTCAGCAAGCTGTCTTACTTCTTTTGGCCAAGTTGCACTCCACATTAGGGTTTGCCTATCAGGCTAAAAAATGTGATTAAAAAATAGTAATGAAGCCTTGTATTTAAGAACAAACTTAGAAATAAGTTTAATAAAAGAACCTATTTGAGGGCACTTACTCTTATCTGATCCACAATCTTTCTTATTTGGGGCTCAAAGCCCATGTCAAGCATTCTATCGGCTTCATCAAGGACAAGGTAAGTGGTTCTTCTCAGATTGGTTTTCCCACACTCTAAAAAGTCAATCAGTCTTCCAGGTGTTGCAATACAGATCTCCACACCTTCAAAAAACATAAATGTTAACTATTGCATCTAATATCTTCAGCACCACCACAGACAAAACCTTCTTTTGGTTACTTGCCTCTCTCCAAATCACGAATTTGTGGTCCCTTGGGGGCACCACCATAAATGCAAGTAGACTTCAAGCGACATGCTCTGCAGTATTCAGCAGCTACTTGCTGTACCTGTTGAGCCAGTTCCCGAGTTGGTGCCAGCACCAAGCACTAAAAAGAAAAGAAAGAACAGCTTTTAGCAAAGACCTGGATTCATGTTAAGCTTTGTGTTACACCCAATTCCTAAAGCAATTGTGTCTTCAGTTAAATTGAATGAAAAAAAAAAAAACTTATTTTTACACAAAAATTACTGCTGTTCCTCACTATGTATTACACTAATACACAAAAGTTTCTGGTCAAGAATTAAAAATACTTACAATAGGCCCATCACCTCTCTCTAGGAATGGCTGGTGATTGATATGGACGATGGCAGGCAGCAAATACTATTTAGAGGGAAGCAAACAACAGAAGTTAAGCTAAAATACTTCCAGATGCCTCCCACCCCAATCATTTTCTCTAGCACATCAATTACTTACAGACAATGTTTTCCCAGATCCAGTCTGTGCTACTCCAACCATATCCAATCCACTTAGGGCAACTGGCCATCCCTGAGCCTGAATAGCAGTGGGTTCTGTAAAGTTCTGTCTTGCAATCACATCCATGACATTTGCTGTATTAACAACAAACAGCAACTTGGTGAAAATTAAATGTGAAGGTGGGGGAAGTTTTAGAATAGAGAGAAGACTAGAAACTAGTACCTACCAGGAAAATTTGCTTCATAAAAATTCAGAACTGGCTTAGGACAGTTGTGACCTCTAACTGTAACTTCCTTGCTTCTTCTGTATGTCTCCACCTCTTGCTACAAAGCAAATTTTAAAAATCTAATTAAGTCTCATGATAACCTCCTCTATGCTAAATACAAAACCAATAGGCTTCGAAATTTTTATCTAGCTACTTCAAACTAGCAGTTTCAGTATCTGGATGCATATACACTGCATAGAACTCAACTACTGTGTTATACCCGACCAGTCTAAGCAGAAAAATTTCAGAGTAGTTTCCAAAAGTAATACATCTAAGTCAAAAGGTGAATCCCCTAAATCTGGTCACTTCAAAGACATTTCTGGTCGGATTCTAACTTGTTAGAAGCCATTACTAAGTCATCACCTGATAACACCACAGAAAATTACTTACTGCTGTGCGTCTAGCCAAATCAGGGTGTTCTTGATAGAAATTCTTCTCAAATTTGGGCAGCTCATCAAGATTCCACTTCTTTTTAACTAGTTTCTCCCCTGGGTTTCCAAACTTCTTTCCAGATAAGGGCCCTGCCCTACTTCCTCCAAATCGAGGCGCACCAAACCTGAAATTAAAAAAATATGTATTTCATTTTCAACTATTATTTTAGCTGTAACTTCCTCTGCACAGTTAAAAACAAAATCGACACTTTTGGCGCTGTAAGGCCTCGCCGGGTGGGTAACGACCATCACTCTCTTCAAACCCACAATTATCACCGTATCGCTCCAGCTCCCAGTTTCAAGTACATCCTACTGACGCTAACTCCCGGGATTTATCAGGTTGGAAACGCAAACACCCTTACTTCAGATACAAGAGACAACAGCTTGTGGGAACTAGCCTTTCCCACGAGTTTAAGAATTAAATGTCTGAAACAACAACACGAGGGAGGAGGAGCGTCAGCGACGACGTTATTTATCAGCCGTTTTCAAGCAAAGCAGCTTTGCCTTTCTGGATAACGGACACCCCGGGCAGTGGAGGACGAGAAAGATGGGTCTCGGGGCGTCTAATCCGATCGAGTTGGGGGGATCCCTTGAAGGGCTCCGGATCAAGACAGCGAAATTACATAACGCAAAGAAAAAGAGAAGGAGGAGCTGGCGACTACCGGGGGAGGAGTCCCGGCCCGGGCGGAGCCGGCCGGGCGGCGTTCCCGCTGGGGCGGCGCTTCCCCCTTTGTCTCGCATTTCTCTCTGCGCCACATTTTCTCGACGCTGCCATTTTGAGCTCCTCCGCCGGGCGGGGTAACAAAGGCGCCGCCGCCATGTCCGACGCCGGCATTTTGTACCCGCGGCTCAGCCACATGGCGATTCCGGCGGCGCCCGACACCCTCCAGCCCCAGCTGCAGCCCTGGCTTCGGAAGCGGCCCCTTTGACCCCCACCGAATTCCCGGAACCCCGAAAACACCGTCCCCAAAGGTCGCACCGAACAGCGGCGACCTCGTCCCTCTCGGAGCGTCGCGTCGCGCTTTCCTCCCCTCACGACACGCTCGGCGTTCCCCTAACAGCTGCTAAAGCGCCGGGCCGACGCCCCCTCCCAAATTAAAAGGCGTTTAAGGCCCGTCACAGGGCAAAGTCTTCCAGTCAGTTTTCAATAAATTGCCAAAATGCCACAAATCTGTGACGAGAGAACCCCAAAATAGACCGAAAAAGTCCAACTCCCGCCGCGCCCCTCCCCCCGCCGCCACCCTCCTCGGCCTCCCATCCCCCACCCGCCGGGCCTGACAGGTCAGTTCCCACACTCACCCTCGATCCCGGCCGCGATCCCGGTCACTCGAATAACCCGACATGGCGTCAATGATTGCGGTTGGCGGGGAACGAAGTAGAGAGAATAGGGTGCGACGAGTCGCTACAGCAGGCTTCGTCGACAGCGAAGCCTTGCGGGGGCGGCAGAGGCGGAGGGACCGCGATGACAGGAGCCGGAGCTGCTCAACAAGAGACCGGTGGAAATGAATGAGGTGCCGGCCGAGTCCCGGCAGCCGGTTTTATAGCCTGGACCGCCTCCTCCGCCGCAGAGGATGCTGGGAGCCGCTCTATGACCTAATCACCCCGCCCAGCGCTAGGGCCGCAACTCCCGCCGGCGTTCCGGAATCCGCCATGTTCTTGCCCCTCCCCCCGCGGCCACTCCCTCAGAGTTGCCCGTTTTTGCCCTTTCAAAGCTGGACCCAACCCCCGAGAATGTCTCACTGTTTACTCTCTCGACTTTACCTTTTAATCGTCTTTTTACACTTCGAAGAAGCCACCCACCCTTTTCTAGGTTCAGCCCAAGCGTTAAAATGGCCACACAGGCCAAGCCACTCTGCCCGCTCGGAGATGTTTACGTCTCTAAAGAGCCCTCACGCCCGAAGCCAAACCCTACGGGAAGGCGGGGCCTAGCGTTGTCACGTGGCTGCCCCCGCCCACCGGGTGAGCGGCCGCACTACTTCTCCAGTTGGCGTCGGCGGAGGAATACGAAGTGAACTACTCACCGGAAGTACCGGGCTAACGCCCCCGGGAGAGCGGCCACGGCTGCCGGGAGACCCCGACTGTCAAACCCGCCGACCTGAGAATCCCTTAGCGAGATCTTGCCGGGGAGAATGGTGTCTAAAGCCCGCAAACGGCCGACTAGGCACGTGCTGCGAAAGGAAGTGCTCCTGTGGTGACCAATCAGCGGCGAGAAGCCGTTTTAACGTCCTCCTTCTTTCCCCCGCCTAGCGCTACGCTCTTTCCCTCTCCCTGCGGCGCGGCCCATCCAGGACACCGTACCCAGCACCCTCGGCTGGGCATCTGGCGGCGACCGGCGTCCGCGACATGGCCTTCTCAGAGGCTGGTGAGTCTCCACTTGGAGGCTCGGTTTGTGTGGCCCGAAGCCGTCCAACCCCCACGTCCCTGCCCATTTTACCCCGAGCCTCCGATCGGCCTCGGCGGGTCTGGGTGCTGCTGGGATCGTCACTGACACCCGTGGCAGCGGGCGGGTGTCCTAGAGAGGGGCTCTGAGCCCGGCTCTCAGTCGGCCGGGAGACTGTCGGGCGCGAGTTGGACTTGGGGAGAGGGGAGCGCGGTGGGGAGAGCCGCAGCTCGCCCGGCTGCCACTGGGTGGGCGGACTCTGCCCCGGACGCGTTTCTCCCAAGGACCCCGGAGCGGCGCCTGCTTCTGTGTGGAACTCTTGGGACTGGCACTCTGAAGAGGTGTTGGTGACCCTGCCAAAGTAGAATGGTGGTGGATTTTTCTCTTCAGTGCCCTCTAGAGTTACCGGCTTTGTCTAGCATCGCTTTTGCTAAGCGAATTAAGGGGGTTGCCCAGGACGCCTTCACCCTTCCTCCAAGACAGCGTTCAAGCCGGTTGTCAGGGTTTGGTCAGCTGCGGGGGAGGTCCTGGGGGAAGGGAAAGCAGATGCCTGGAAGAGTTTCTTTCTCTCCTCCCCTCTCCCTCTCGTTTCTGGGGAGAGGGAATGTGCCAGGAATACACACACGCAGCCGTTCCCACAACCTATGTGTTCAGAGTATACGGAATCTAATACAGAACTTTTCCCTTTTATTGCCAGTCATCAGGCAACAGATGTTGCACGCTTTTTAAGTTACTTTTCACCGCGAGACCGCTGAAGTGCTCTTAATAACCCCAAATGTCTGGGTGTCAACTGTATTGGTGATGTAGTGGTTCGGAAGTTAGGCACGTCTTTATTTATTCCCTATATTTTCTTTCATATACGTCAAACTTAGAAGCTAACAAATGTTGCTGTCATCATTCCGGTTCTTCAGTCTAAGTTAATCACCATCTATTTGGACACCAGAGAAACTCTTAGTTGCACAAGATAATTGGGTGAAAACATGGCCCGTACTATTGGGAATATGAAGCAACATTCATTAGCTTCTAGTGGCTTCGGACTACCACTATCTTGTTTATGACTGAGTAGTCCCATTTACTTGTCAATGTGGTTAAAACACTTACGTGGCTTGTAAAATAAGAACGATGGTAAATCAAGACTTTAGGTTGCAAAGGTAAAAACTGAATTTTCATGCTTGTATTGACTACATTGAAGTTGTATCACTCTGGAAGTCATCTTAAGAAATTAAATCCCAGTGTATTTTTTGTTGTATGTTGTACATACCATGTTTTTTATTGTATGTTGTACATCACTTTTTATCATGCTACTTAAGCCTGATCTTTTTTCCCAACAGAGTGGGTAACCATTGCTAATAACCTTCTTTTGAAATGTCACATAAACCTGAGAATACGTGAACTAGAAGACTGTGATGCTAATGTTTTCATTGCTCTTTATCAATCCATTTTGGGAGAAAAGGTACCAGGTAAGGGTACTAAAAAGTGGGAATAACACACGTGAGGCCACATTTCCTAGTGCCTCTCTTTATATAGCAGATGGTATTTGTAAAATCTCAGTTTTCTTCTTGACTGCATCTTGTTTCTACCTAAATGGTTGCATACACTGACCTTAATGATCAAATCAGTTTGACTGAGTTTAGTCATCACTATTTAATCATGCCTAAAACCTTGTAAAAGTCACACCTTTTCTGTAAATGTACCTTCAAAGGTTTTAAGCTTGAGTTGGATCTGAAAATCGTTGGGTCCTGTTACTTAACCAGTGTAGTGATAAGAACTAGATGAATATAGTTTACCAATAAGTTCAAAAATTCATAGTCCTGTCATAAGTTGGGGCTTGTTCCTTTATTTCAGAGATATCACATTGTTTTGCTGTATGCCTGATTAAATACATCAGCCCTTATGCTTAGATTCCTCAGTGCCGGTTTTTTTATACTATAGAGTTTAAAATACTGTAAACTCTACATAGTCTCTTTTCTTTCCCATTGTTACTATGAGTCAGTGCCCTCATCACTTCCTGAATTAGAAGAACTCTAGCTGGTATCTTTGGTACTAGTCCCAGTACTTCGAGTTCAGAGACATATGTAGTTATTAGACCAGTCTTTTAAAAAACGTTTTCATCCTACACTGAAATAGCCATCTTTCTCAACTCCAGAGAAAAAATTCCAAATTTAATTTAATACTAAATCATTCTGCATTCTGGTCTATACTGATTTTTAAAGCTTTTAGACCAGTAATTCTCTGTAGGCTACTTTAGCAGGACATACAAGACTTTTCCTTTCACAGCTTTTCCTTTTCCCCACAGTTTGTAGGGTTTTTCTCACATGTGGAAAAACAGTGTACAGTTGATGGGCTTTGCCTTCACATCTTGCCTTCCTTATTAGAGTATTTGCAGCTCCTTGAATTTGGGGACTTGGTTATCTTCTTTTTATTCAACTAATAAGATTCTATGTGGAATTCAGGCTTTATTAACTTTATTTATACTTTATAGCCTATTCTGTTGGAGCAGATATGATTTTTGTAACATTTAAGCGTGCTCAGAAGCCTGGTCAGAGACAGCTGGAATCTTGGACCATCACAGATGCAAAGTCATTTAGCTTTTTTTCCCACAGACCTCATAGCTATTCCTAGAAGTCAAGAGGATGAAGCTCACAATGTACAAGCAGTAATCGATTCACTGGCCTTGGATTATCTGCAGGTCAGCTTGTCTCACATATTAGGTAATTATTCATTTTACTAATATAATTTGTTAAGTAGAATTCTGTACATTAATTCATTAAACGGGTTAACTTAAGGAATAGACCCACTCGCAAGACTAAGCCACGTTGCCTGGTGTAGCTACGGCAGCCATCCTTAGGCATTCCCAGGGGAATCAAACAGTGATGGATGTGGGTCTGAAATGTAGTGTCCTAGTTGGTAGCTTGAGGTATGTTTGTTACTTTATTTTAAAGCTACCATTTTGCTTGTTCATAGGAACTAAAAATCAGAAATACCTAAAGTTTCATTAATAGAGACAGACTAAATAAATTATGATAGACCCATACGGGAAACTACTCTGCAGTCGTAAGGAATTAATTTATTCTCTCTCTATGGTGTTCAGATAAGTGAAACAATCTCCGGTATGTATTGTGAGCATGTATTGTGATAAGTATGGTGCAGGTACAGTGATAGTGTGCTAAGTATGTTGTTATTTGTAAAAATAAAGGTGGGAGAATATGTAAACAGTTGCCTGCAAGCAGAAGGACAGTGAACAAACTAATGAACAAGCCATTTCAAGCCAATGAACAGAGGGAATCTTGGAAAGTTGAAATACATAAACCACTAAAAGAAGGCTTATGTTACTTATGCTTTAACAGTAAAGGAGATAAATATTGATCAGGATAGATCATTTACATTTCATTTTTATATTGACAACAAATTATTACAAAAACTATATCTTGCCATGCTAGTAGATCAAATGTGGTCAATCTCTTTAAGAGATAGTTCATCTTGAGAGATAATCCCACATTGCACTGTGCTTTTGCTAGTTAGAATTAATCACCTGAGTAGCACCAATTCTATATTTTTCGATCATCCTGTAGCAAGGTTTTACCTACTTAAAGAACTCTTTAATGCAGAGCTTTCCCCAAAAACTCACACCCACCCCAATGAAAAGTTGCAAAAGTACTTACCTCTTCCTGTAAACTGTAAGGTGACTTTTTTCTTCTTATGTGCTGTTTCAAGCAGTTTCTCCTGCATTGTGAAGCCCTGCATTCTGGCAGGCAGTCTTAGTTGCTCGGTTGGTGGGGTATGCTCCCCATCCTGGAAACTGAGAAGTTGCCGGGTATACCCTTGTGTATACTTGTGTATCTTGTTAAGCCAGAAAAACATGCACTCTAAAAACAAGATTTGATTAGTTGTTTTAAACAGAAAAAAAATCCACACATTGTCTTGTCTTTACTAGTTGTATTGTAAGACATCAAATTTATGATTTAGGTTTGTTTGGTGTCATATCTGAAGTTATAAGTGGCAGTGGCCATTCTCGCAAATACCAGATTTCTACTCTGCTTCTCCCATACTGGTTTGAACTCATGAGCACACCAGGCATGGTCTCCCAAAGGACTACCCAAGTGTCTCAAAAGAATTAAGTTCCATTCATACCTGACGTTGATTGGAGTCCATTTTAGATGATTTTAAACATGTCAAATTTTCATGCTTTTACCAACTCATTCCTGTTACCCTTTCAACCTGACACATGTTAAAGTTCTATCATGGACCAGGTACTGTGCTAGGGACTAAAGATTGCCTTCTTGTGTAACTGCGCTGCAAGTTGACCCTGGAGAGGTTGGGGGTGGGGTGAGATTAAAAAGGATTTTAAGATGCAGAGCTATAATAACTTTTAATCAGAAAAATGGGATAATCTATACAAAATGAATAGGAATTAAAATACATGTAGAAAATATTAGGATTCCTGGTGAAAATATCCCAACACATTTT